ATATATATATATATATATATATATATATATAAGTCGGACGCGTTAAATATTAATTACTAATTATACAAGGTATTGGTATTCTAAAAAAATAGTAAACGAGAAACTTACCCCCAAAATATCAGAGAATTAAGATATTTTTGAATGAGCCATACACAATTCACGAGTTAGAAGCAATAATTGTTAAATTTGCAAATCAACAATATGTTGATGATAGTAAATTAGTAATCTTAAGGAGCATCATTGTCCAAACAAAAGCTTTGACAATGGTAGCTTCAAATTTTCAGATAGAATTTCAAGAAAGACCATCTCTCAATTTGGAGAAGATGTATGAAACTGAAAAAATAACACTATATTGTCCTATATGGAGAAGGTTTGATTTGTTTTAGTCCCTATCTTTCGATTCATGAAGAAAGCGCAACTTTTAAGAAAGCTCAAACTTTTTATGTACAAAATAGATACTTCTACTATAATTCTTTTAAATGCTTATGTTAGTGGGTATAATTCTTTTCAAGCACATTTCACTTTGTTCTAAAATTTAACCTTTTTTTAAAATAATATGAATGGGAGAGTTTAGATCTCCTACTTAAAATATGCAATATTCAGTATGGTAAACGATTTATTGACAACAAATTTCGTAACATGCACCTTAGCATACCAAATGCAGCTTCCCTGTAATTCTGCTTTATTGGACATAATTCTGCATATTTTTACTACTGCCAAAAGGACAAATTCATGTGGAGAGATGCAAGCTGCATAACCGTGCGGCCAATACATCATTTACAGCATCAAATATTACACGCTTGTACGACAATGATCAACCCTCTTGACTGCTTGATCATAAAGACTCTAATATCATATTAAAGATCAACCCTTTTAAAAGGTCAAATGGTTAGGTGAAGAATAATGAATAACTATGATTTATATCAGACATGTAGTATTTGGTGCATGAATTATAAATATAATATCTAAGCAAAAACGAATAGTCAAGACATGAACTAACATAGAACAAGTTGGATTTGTGAATTCTTCTTGCAATAGTTACATGCATGAATATTTCTATAATGCACCCTAAAAATAATGTAACTGAATACAAGGGAGTAAAAGATAATAATCAAACTACATTAGTGAATTTGATACTATATCTAGCACAAAATCTTAAGACAATAGGTATGTGAGTTATTCTCATCAATTTGTAACCTTATGAGACTTCTTCACTCAAACTTGTCACTCCAACAATCTACCCCTTAAATTGGGATATCTCCACATGGTATGCTTCCTCTAAAGGGAAAATTCATAAACAATTAAACATGGAGAAAAAAGGCTATACATTGACAATGTAAAACAGTTTTACACAATCATCCAATCATAGACAAACATTTATGCTAAGCTTGTTGACTTTTACACATTTATTTTAAAAATCATATCAATAGTGATTTTTGATTAGTCAATAATGTAAAAAAAATTTTACACCAACAGTAAATGACCATTAAACTCTTAACATAAGAGAAATCTTCATCAACCAACCACAAGTGAACTTGATGTCATAACTAACCGAAAACATTATGATATGAGGCTTGTATGTCCTTCTCACTTATAAGTTGCCTACTTTTACCCTATGTGTTATTTCTCCCCTCACACTTGCTACTTCAACAATCCACTACGTGAGAATTTCTTCCATATGATATGGTCTCCCTCGAAGAAAAATTTCATAAATACAAGAGAGATTTCCATTAATAGGCCACAAGAAAATAACAAAATAACACAAGTAAAATTTACATCACAATCAATCTAAAACCTAAAGGTATATTATATTAGGTCTGTAAGTCTTTCTCACTTAAGCATTACTTGACTTCATTTTAATCCAATATGAAACTTCATTACTCGAACTCCAATAAAATATCTACTCACATAATAAGAGATAATCCTATAAAAAAAATCCTATAATTTTTTTATTACTAACTTAATTAACGGAGTACTCTAATGAAACAAATATGAAAGGAGATAGTTTGCAACTGTTAAATATGGATATGATCATAGGACATGCAACATACATATGACATGATAACAGACAAATACAGAATATATGGTAAATTTTAAAACTTATAAAACACGTGACCATAATACAATATACAAAACTTTCACGAAACTAACATAAAAACACAAATTTCAAATCAAATGAGAAAATCCTTGTTTTAACTTTTGTATGAATCATTATAAACATGATAAAATTTTATCATCAATCTAATTATTTTGACATTCTCATCTTATATTAATATAAAAAAATTATAAAATACATTAGGAGGAAACAAATTATTGGGTCATGTTCGACGTATGCGGTTACTGTCTTAAAGCTACCGTTTTTCATAAAGTTGAAATAGAAGAGGATAGGCAAAGGCAGAGGGGTACTTATGGCGATGAACAATTATTGGCATTACGGTAGCTTGTCTGCAACTGCAAGTATTATGGGAGCAAGCTTCTAAAACGTCAGCAAGAGACTAAGCAGAACAAGTGAAGAATCTTCATTACTGCTATAACATTGTCATATATTTTCTACATATTGCATCACAGAAGCAGAGAAACTCCAAATTTTCTGTTTAAACAAGTTGAATATCATCTGTTTCTTGATGGAACAGAGCACTTGGACAAACGCATAGTTTATTAAAGACAAAAACACTCCATCCCCATTTCCCTCTCCTCAACCCTCCTTTCAATTGTTTCTATGTGTTTTCTTCCAGCTAACGGATGCTATTCCTAGTAACAATTTCCAGTTTCATTGTTTTACCTAGAAATGACCGACAAGTGGCTTCTACATTTTTCAGTGTATTTGCTCTTTATTATAAAATAATAATCTTATTATTTTCTTTAACTAGAAACCATCTAACATAATAATGCTTTAAAAAATATTTTAAGAATATAAATAAATAATAATAATTAATATTATATTAAAAAATTAAAATAATACTTACTTTAATATTTATTTTTCCTTGCACCTGAATACATTTAGAGCATCTCCAATACTCTTCAAATAAGCGACGTGTTTTATTTCTTTAAATTGGTCTATACATGTCATCTCAATTTTTCTTATCAACAAGTTGTTTAACTCTCAAATATCCCTACTCTCTCTTCAACATTTGATATTCTTTCTCCTATGTATACACACAAATATTAAGCAACTCTTTAATTTCAAGAAATCCAAAATCATATATAATGCACTAAAATAGTATTTTATTGTAAAACAACGTGCAGCTAAACAGAGATGGTGTTATTAAATTGGAATACCAGATTTTTGAAGAGTTTTATCCCAGTACCAACTATGTTAGAGCAGAGTCGGAGATTAACAGTTAAAAGATAAAAGCGTGATTGTGCAGAGAGCGGTAATAATGCAAGTTCTGAAATATAAAGACAAGGATACAAGTTGCAACGAGTTCGAGTTCAACGGCGCCATACATATATTCTTCCTATATACAAACAATAATAATAATCAGTAGCTGATCTAAGAAATTGTTGTTTGGCTAAAATAGCGTACACACAAAAATCCCCAATCCTAACACTCACTCTAACCATTGTGCACATAAAATAAAAATAATAATGAATAAATAGGTATTAAAAAATGGAAAAGAGATAGAGAGAGAGAGGGGGATAAGGGAAGAGTAACGGGCCTGTGCTGTGGATGATGCGTTCTTCCTTAGGAGAGATAAACCCAAAACGACAAGTTCAGCCAATCCCAGCACAGCACAGCACAGGCGCAGATAAAAAGCTTTTTCACGAATCACTTTCCGTCCTTCTCTCTTGATTCCTTTCACATTTAATTTCACCCACCAACACCCTTACCATCCCCACTCTCTTTTACCTTTCTAAATTTACATTTCTTACCACATCATTTATTTTAACATACCACAATTAAAAAATATAATTATTTATTAATATAAAAAAATTTATAATAATAATATATACATAATTAACCTTTTTTTTTTAACTGTATCGAGTCATCGGATACTAATTTCAAGGACTCAAATTATAAAAGTAGTAAAAGCTCAATGACTCATTACAATTTATTTTGACTCATATTCTAATTTGCTAAACCAAAATTCATTTTTTTCAAGGAATTTGACACATGTAGTACTCTTTAACTAAATTTCCTAGTTAAATAAAAAAAATACTAATTTGTTAAACCTAATTTATATATTTAAAATAATTTATTTAATATAAATTTTAATTATTTAATCTTTTGTATTTACAAATTAAAACATAAGTGATTAAAATAGGTTAAATTATATTTTTAGTCTTCAATAATATTTAATTTGTAATTATGGTCCTTAATTTTTAAATTTATAATTTTAGTCTCTAGTTTTATAAAATAATTTTGGTCCCTTTATCAAATTTCCATCTGATGATCATTAAAATTTTAATGGTGATCATGATTT